ATTTTGTGTTTAAAATAAAAAAAAAAAGAATATTTCAAAATATCACCAAAATGTTAATTTTCAAGAAACAAGTTTGGGTCTTTTGAGCTACATTACTGCCACCCATTAGATCTATTTTGTATTACTAAACATGTATAAACATTTCAAACAGATACTTCCTAATGTCTTGCAAAAAAAGAAAAGCAGACATAATATCCTGCCATTATGTTATTTTTTTCATCATCACCGCAAATTGTGAATGGATGTGCTGTGTTTTTTTTTTTTTATGATTTATTTATATCCTGGAATGTGCGGGAAAACAGAATGTGTTAACTGTTCTCGGAAATACGAGTTTTCTAATCTCCGTGGTTAAAATGTGAAAGCCTTCGACATTCCAAAAATAACGGCGTCTCATACCGCCTCTGTCTCACAACATGTGTCTGAAAAGTCCCCCAATGTCCATGACCAATGCTGCGATTTGTCTCCAAAATATCCTCATGGAAACCGATTTGAAACTGGAACCATTATTGGGATTGTTTTGTGGTGTAGAAACGTCTGGCAGGTGTCTGATCTCTGGGTCAGATGACTTCACAGCTCTGGTCTTTTCACATGGCTCTGTGGACCAAGGGATGGAGCCGCACAGATACTGAAGGTCACCGCAATGCAACAAATGAAAAACATCCTGAACCCAGAAAAGTGACTCTGAGTAGGTTAAGGGTTCAAACATGGAAGTAAACGTTTAAAGCCAGAACTTCGTTCCCGAAACGTTAACTCAAACATGAACTGTAGTTGTCAGATTGATTTATGGATAAATGAGCAGCAGGTGCCTTCTTCTGAGGGTGGCTGACATCATCATCATCACTGATTTCCAGGGAAGGTCAGAAAAAGGCAATGTGAAAAATTCTGAAAATTCCATTGAGACTCATGGGGCGCCACCAGCAGGACAACTAAAATGGCTTCGCTTTGTAGAAAGCACCCAGGAAATGGAACATGTGTGGATGATAGGATGTGTTGGGTCAATGGAATAAATCAGTATCATCTGTCCCTGGAGTATGTTTTTGGGAAATGGAGAAATGGTTGGAAAGGCGTTCCCTGCAGCTGTGTCTGTGGATGCGGAGCAGAGCACCCAAGAGCAACAGATACGTGCAATGGTGTTGCATAGGCTGCTTTAGATTCGCCTTTTTATGTGGGAGCAGCTGCCTCTCAGCCTACCAGTCTGGCAAAACTAATCCCGTTGAACTCCGGAGAAACGTTTCGTCAAGTAGCACAACACCTGACATTGGTTTCCCCCCTAGTTCTCAAGTGAAATGGAAGCTTTTATCTGTCATTTGCCTTCAACTTTAGGAAGGAAGGAAATCACTTACAGAGACCAGAGCTTGGCCCGACTGACGCCGCAGTTATATAACTGCACATACTTCACTGCTCTTGAAGTATTTCTACTCTCTTCAGTTTTTGTTTCTTTTGCTCTGTAACGTCGTTGACATCTGTATTTTTTTGTTTTATTTTATTCTAGGTGACGCACGGTGGAAAGTGTCAAATGTGCATGCCTTAATTCAAGAAGCTCATTACTTTAACCCCCATCTTTCGGTATGTGGTTAACAGGTTTTCCTGTGTGTTTTTTTTCTTCAGTTTTTGATCTGTCCTGTAGTTGAAACACATGCCAGATTCAATGACTTGGCTATCTGTTGATTTATTTTAATTTAAAGTTTAGCTTAGGCTAATTAATTAATATTCTAAAGTTAGGATAAATACAAGGATAAAACATGTCTTTGAGAAGTACTGAACAGCTTTGACATCATCATCTATCATTATATCTTTGTTACCTCTCTCTTTCTCTCTGTCCATCTAGGAATGCACTTTGCTAACACGTCATCATTAGTTCGTGGTCGACCCTTAAAATGTGTGAAGGGTTCACTCAGCTTTGGAAGAACCACTGAAGAGCAGGTATGATGTGAAGTTATCTTCATGTGGTTGCATCAGTTCTAAGGGCCACAGGCAGCAGGGTGGGATGCTGGTTAGAAACCACTGCCATTCATTTCTAACCACGATCTGGGTATACATTTTCCTAAATCACTGAGGGAATCATTGTTTCCTACTATGTGTTTCTGCTGGCTGACTCGGGCTGCAGGAGCTGTGCTAATCGCAAGCATAAGGAGGTGAAATATGATGGGAATCTGCCACAGCCTATGCCAGTTGGTCAGCTGCTGCAGTTTTGCACCTGCTGCAAATGACGTTAGAGACCAGGCTTAAAAAAACAAGAAACAAAAAACAATGACAAGTATCTTCATAGAAACCTCCCTGAAATCACAGAGTGAGAAGCCAAAAGAATGTTTCTATTAATTATTCTCATTTCTTTCTTTAACATGTTGCAGTGGTATCAAATGTGAATCATGTTTGAAACCAAACAAACACAAGTGACTTGACTGAAGTTGACAAAATTAGATAACGTAATCAGAGAAAGAACAGAGGACTTCTCACTGATAGGGGGTGAAACTCTAACAAGTCCATCTGTCTCTGTCTGAACTTCAGCAGAGGGTCAACAGAGGATGGATATTTTTAGGTCTGGTCATTAACTTGGGACAACACCCTGGGACTGTTTGGACCATAAGTCTTTACAGAGCTCCTCCATTTGGCCAAAGTCTGTGGTGTTAAGCAGCTCTGTGTTACTCCTCTAGTATGTGTCCTCTGACTGGACTTGTCCCAAACACAGATTTGCTCTGTAGTGGATTGACTCTGACAGTCCCGCCTCAGCTGGTGGACATCCACTCTGTCATTCTATTGTGGAACCACAAGTTTACTTGGGAATTTATGTTTTCCCCCAACTGCTGTCCAGGCCCAAAGACAGCAAGGCAGTGAGGCAGCCCCAGATCATGATGATCCCTCTGCAGAGAAACACTGCTTTAGCCCCACATGTAGAACTCCATGTTCTTAGCAAACAATTCAACCTTTGTTTCATCCATCACGAGCACTTTCCCAGTGGTGTTGTGGCATGTCAAGCTGCTATTTAGCAAATGTAAGGCGAGCATTTTTTTTGGAGAGCGGCTGACAGCGAACACCATTCTGTCCAAATGATAATGATGAGTCAAAGAAGTTACAAAGATTTGTTGTTTTTTTCTGCTGATTGTGACATGTGAGAGGGCAGCCAAAACAGAACAATCTGTCTTTGTATGTAAGGTTTGGTAAGGAGGAAAAAAAAAAAAGTCAGCGTCACAAATTGGGGGCAGCAACACAGGCAGCAAAAGACATTCAAGTATGTTGTTTTATTTGCAATAAAAATTAGTGTCACCACAGAACTTGGTACAAAGATACAGTAACAGGTAAAAGTTTGTTAAATAGTTTTCCTTTTTTAGTGGAATTTATGTTTTTATATTAACTGATAAGAGGACAATGTCTGAGGACAATGTCTGAGGACAACATCCTGCAGTATTTATTTACTACCTTTTAAGAAAGCCCATAACACAGTTTTTTTTCTGCACAGGTAACGACCCTTTAAAATGACCACTTTAGAACACGATACATGTAGACGGTTAGAAAAGTGTAACACATGTAACAGTACACACAGAGCCCAGAAAAATAAATGTGTATATACAGAAATGAAGGACATGCAGCCTCAGATACACACGTTTAATAAAAATAATAATTTACATCACATAAGACAAATTTGTTATAAGGAAGTCAATGAACATTGAAAAAACATAAAAAAACCCATCAGGTATTTAAATAGATGACAAATGTCAGGTAATGCTCTCTGAACTCATGTGCAAATTCCATGTTAAATGTTCTGTCATGAAGAAATGTCACAACAACCAAGTAAAATAAGGACTTTAGACTCTTCTCTTCTGCATCTTTGCTAACACATGCGTCGTTCAGAGCTAAGTGCAAACAATTTGCTTCTTAAATGTTGTGCATTAAAATCTGAGTTTTGGTGGTTCATACATTGTTTTTTCAAGCAGCAATAAATCTGTTACTAAAAAGATAAAAAGTTCAATGTACACGATACTCTCCAAAGGTCTAAAAGGTTACACCCACAGTCTGAATGGTCAGTGATATTGCTTTGATCATTGCTTCAATGTGCAGTCCCTGAAACATCATTTTGTCTGTCCTACAGCCCCACTGCTGGAGGAGAGGAGTGAGGAAGAGGGGGAGGAGGAGGAGGAAGACAAGGATGGTTAGCTCTTCTCCTTTGCTGCCAGGCACTTTGTTCTTCACTGTGGTCCCCAGGTTTGACAATCTGGAAGCTGCGCTTAGTGTTTTCTTTTACTGTCGGCTGCTCAGCCGTCCTGATACTCTGTCAGAGCTCAGGCGTCGGAGATGCAGTTCTGGATCTTGTCCATCCACACCTGAGCGCTCGGTGCATCTGAGGCACAGAAGTTGTAGACTCGCTTGCTAGTCTTCAGCTGGAGAGACATCAATGATAACAGGGATCACTGACAGCAAGCCAACTGATGATTAGGTTAAATGTGACATGGGTTAGTTACAGTGTAAATAAAACCAAGGGGAGGAGGCAGTACTTCACAGAGCGAGAAGCAGGTCCACAGCCTCAGCCAGAAGGAGGAGCCAGAGGAAATGACCCAGTCCAGAAAATTACTCTGGAGGAGGGCTCATGGTAGTTGGCTTTACTTTAAACTGGCAGGAAGTCAAGTTGAATTTTGTTTGGATGGTGCTGTTGCTCTGTGTGTGGAGGGGAGTCATTTTAAAACTAAAACATCCTTAGGTTATTATAGTATTTTAGTGGACCGTGTCCAAGATGTGGTTAGAAAATCAAGAAGAATCTTCTCCCCCCATGGTTTCACCAAGTACTGCAATTTTACTCCAAAAACATGCAGGATTAGATTCACTGTTCACCCTAAATAAACCATAGAGTGAATGGATGTTTGTCTCTGTATGAGGCCCTGTGACTGACAGGTGAACTGTCTAGTGTGTAACCCTCCACTCAGGCAATGGATGCTGGGATTGACTCCAGAAACCATACAACCCTGAAAAGTATTAAGCTGTAAAAGAATGAATGAGTTAGAGCCCAATAAGATCAGGGCTTTAGTTCTAGAAACAGAATTTTGACACAGACTGATCAAACTTTTTAGATTTTCATAGAAATAATTGAACTATGATTTCTTTTATTTCAACAGTCTAATAGTTTGGAGTAAATTACCCAAATTGGTGCAGATAGGGTGACTAGGTTTAATGCATTTCAGACAGAAACATTACCAAGACATTATTTTATAACTTTGTAAAGTAACTTTGAATTGATGAAATGCTTCCCAAGCAGCAATTTTCTAAAATCTAATGTTGTTTTTGTCTGTATGCTAAAATTAAATTTTAAATATTGAGTACCAAGTCCTGACCACCTGCATATAACAGAGGAGCACTTTTGATTTTAAAGTGTATTTACATCAAAGAATGCCTTCTCGCTGATGTGTTTAGGGGCTCCTATAGTGGGCGCTGCGATCACCACAGACTCAACTTCCGCCAGGTCAATGTGGCCCCTACAGTTGGTGTCCTCCCCAGTGTCGTAGTACCTCATCTGTAAAACAGTGAACATTAGTCTGCAGCCTGTCGCTCAGAGGGATTCTACAGAGTTTTTCTTTTCAATTACCTGATGTTTGGTCACGTCCAGTACAAACCAGCGAGGTTTCCAACCTTTGAGTAGTGATCCTCGTTTGTACAGTATTCCCTCATAAGACCTAGAAAATGACAACAGAACAGAAAGTTCCAGAAACTTTGTAACCAAAGATGATAGTGAACATGCAGATTTAATATTGGTAGCAGTCACCCTGATGAAATTCCATCTTTTTCTATACCGTTCGTGAGGAGCGTATAACAGTGTTTTCTACGCAGGGGGCTGAAGACATACTGTTCCCCCATATGTTCAGCTGAAGGACTGTTTGTACATTATGTTCTCAGCGATGAGGCCAACAGTGGGTAGATGTTGTTCTGTGAGACCACAGACCACGGTTTCTCCTCTTTCAACTTGCCCAGTGTTTTTACTCATGTCAAACGTCTGTATGTCCAATTGCAAACACGTGCTAACGTAGAAGTAATCCATCACTGACTAATCTTACAGACACTCGAGGAGAGTGATTTATTTTTCTGTCTTTTGTATCGGGCAGATATTGACTAACAGATTTTAATTTTTAAAATAAAAATAGGCCTTTGTGCAACTTGAAGGAAACTGTCCAGATGTTTGAGCCCGGGGTTTGTTCCTTAACCTCGCATTAATTGTAAAACTACACACCCATAATTTAACAGAGCACAGAGGAGCCTCGAACACTTGGGTCACAACATACCACAGGCCTGATGCAACTTTCAAAACTGGTCTGTGTGTCAGTGAGAAAATTCAATTTGTTTGTAGGGTTGTTTTCAGGATGTCGTAGCCCACCTGTTCTCCTCAGTCTTGGGGGTGAACTGGTTGTAAAGGGTGGCGGCGCGGCGGTTGATGCCGTTGGTGGTGGTGGTGGCAGTGCGATCCTCCACCAGTGCAGGATCTGGCAGGTGCAGCATAGACTGACACTGAAATGTCTGCAGGCTGGATGTGGGGAGGAGACTTGAGATGGACATGGACTGTTTACACAGCTGTGGACACACAAAAAACATATAAATACATTCGTACATATATACACTGTACATGTTTAAATCTGTATAATACAGATTATTACAAAATATCCTTCCTCCTGTGATTTTTTTAAATTACTGTAAAACATTAATCAGTGACTAGTTGGTGTCGACAGTTGTACCTTGATTAATTATATATTAATTTATATGTGTATATATATATATATATATATACATTTAATACAAAGAAATATATATGATTAATGTGTCTGTTTTTTTAACACACATTTCCCTCTTGTCGAAGGTCTTCCTGAATACTGAGACGGACTCTCTCCAGGACTGTCTGCCATTTCTCAGGGGCCTGGTTCAGTGCGTTCTCCAGCCTCTCGATGTCCTGCGGTTAAGATGATGGATGTGACATTAGACGCAGCAGCGAGACAGAGCAGGACTTCAACTTCACACCTTTAGTAGTAGTACTATCTTACAGCCAGGAGTTTGGTGATGGAGTCCGGCTGGGCCCGGCTAACGCTGCTGTAACAGGGCCAAACAATCCTCCTCTTACTGTTGGAGAGGTTGTCCTCCTCCTCTGAGCTGTCTGACCTCATAGCCATCATCCGCCAGTCATAACATGCCCCTGAGGACAAGGTCTCGTCTGTGAAAAAGTCCCACTTCCTCAGTTTGGGGATGGCAATGGAAGGCTTCAGGATCACCTGTGGAGGAGGAGATGAGGTTCAACGATGACCCTGTCATAAGATGTAGACATTGAGGAGCTAAATCTATGTGATGTTACTCTCTGCTACTGTCTACTGAGTAACACAGGCCACGCCCTTAGTGCCTGGGGAAGAAGTCAGGATCTTTGGTCCAGGACTTCACCAAGGTGTACTACTGACCTTGGTGAAACAAAAACTCTGTATTGTAGCGTGTTCAGCATTGTTGTGTGCACTGGAAAATAATATAATTTTACTGTATATAATTATTAGATATTAAGTACCTGTCATTCTACCTACTGTGTGTTGTACACATAACACAATTAATGCAAAAAATCTCTAGCTTTTCTTGCTCTTTCAGTAAATTCTCTTACATGAGCTTCTATAAGACCAACAATTCCGCCTGGGATCAATAAAGTATTTCTGATTCTCTGAGAACTCTCTTCTGCATGAACACACACTCTCACCTCACTCTCTGAGGGGTTGTAGAGATAGTTGAAGAAGATGGGACTCCTCTTGTGCATCCTGTTAATACACTCCCAGATACAGATGCCTCTGCGAGCCTGTTTGTCACCTCTGTCTTCAAACAGCAAACCTGTAAAAACACATCACACAGTAGAGGCTGATGAGCAACGGGTTGGAAACACCAGCTTTAGAGTTTATAACAGGGACGTGTGGACTGCTGCTGGCACACTTTATAACATCCCACCTTTTTTGGCTTGTGACCCCATTTTGACATCACAAATTTCTGGCAACAGAGATTTCAGTAGCTGTTGCTTGTCACAGGATCACAGCAGTTAATTATTATTAAGTTATTTAAAGACTTTCTCACATAACGCCTGCTACAAACAAGAAGTGCAATAATCAAAGGCTGATAAAGTTTTTTTTATTTTATAAATACTGCTTTTTAAAAAACTGCAGTATTACAGTAAGTAGGCACTGACTTAACCCTACCTATTGTTGACTGACTTTGTTGCGCTGTATTAAATTGACAAACTATTCAAGTGAAAAAGGTCAACTTAAATTTAGAGTTTCTTAGCTTCGTGCTAAAAAAAAACCTGTCATACAAAAAGTTTTAGGGTTGCATTTCCAGTGAAGAAGTAAATGTTGTGCATAACTGTCCAGATCACTGACCATGTTCGAATCGCTCATAGTCCGAGTCCAGCAGGAAGTTCTTGAAGCGGTTGGAAATGTGATGATAGGCCAAGAACTTGAGATAATACTGATTATACTCGAACTCCAGGGGATACTGTTCCAAAACCTGCAAAGACAGGAAAATGTGAATACAGGGAGTGAGGTCAGTGTGAATGTGACGACTGGACCACATCTGTTGTCTCGTGGCCTGGTGTCAGTCCACTGCAGAAATGATATACTAGAAACAGGAAGGAAGATGTCCTGTCTGTTTGAGGGCAAAGGTTGACGATATCTTCCACAGCAGACACAATTCAGGCTGGAGCAGCAGCACAGCAGCTCTATTGTTCTGTGTCCGATGGCCAATGACATGGTATCACTGAATATCCGAGGCCACCTGGGTCTCTTGGCAAAAACAACAGCTGTTTGGGAGATGATGCACTTCTATTTTCGGCTTTTGTCCGAATCTACCCACCCCCCACCCCCGACCCTGTTAATAGCCCTCCGAAACCAAGCATCCATGCCAGATTGTCTTTGCTGCCAAGCCTGCAGTTTCAAACGACAAATGCTAAAACTATGTGTTGATGTAAGTGTATGGGAGTGGGTCTGCAAGACCCCTGGGAAACTCCATTAAAATCCATTACATCCTCTAAAGTTAGCATTTCAGAATGGACTAAATTCTCTGGACTTCAGCTGGAAGAGCCCCCCTCCCCCCCGCCTAAGAGGGTCTCAATTCACAAAGCTGCAATTTTCCACACACTGCTCTAAACACGCAAGGAATTGTGAAAGGATGCTGAAAACATAGTTGTGCAGTCAGCTCAGCGATGGGTTCACGGACCATCTGGGTAGCAGCTCCCCGTACACTCTGCCGCAACACAGCCTTGGAATTACATTTCCAGGGCTGGGAGGTGCAAAGCTAAACCAAATGTAAGGATAACGGCAGCTGAATTTCTTGCATTCCTCGCCCCCCAGGGCCTTCTGCTCTTGAGGAATGTTATGAGCTCATGACCGCGCTATGAATGACACAGAGGGGAGGCAGAGGGAAGTCACGTAGCAGCGGCAGACAGTCTCAAATGTACAGAGCACCTGGAGGTGGTGGTCAGGACTGAGAGGGGCTCTGTTTGGACCTCACCTGGTGCACACAGTCCAGGAACTGCAGGAAGACGGGCGTGAAGCCGCTGCCCTGACTGTTGGGACTCAGGTTGCTTCTCTGGCTGAACTTGTGGCCGAAGGACAACCACTCCTTCTCCAGCAGCACCTGAAAACCCTCCAGGGTGCGATAGAAGGGGTCGCTCAGTAGTTGCACCAGAGACACCACCTGGAGACAAAAAGGACAGGTGTCAGCAAGTGTCCAACAGCATGTGGAAAGAACCGTATACAGTCTGTTTGATTAAAGAGTTGTCCCTTACTTAACGTGTCAAATTAAAAAAAATAAAAATTCAAATTTTTTAGATGAAAAAATTACATTCTGAACATTAATAAAATATATAGTGATAAACGGTTTGTTGTGACCCCGATGGACAGAATCAGTTATAAATTGATTAGAAAAAAAAAATCAATATCTTGAGTAATAATTATTAAAATTAAGGTTAAAATGGTCTGAACATGGGCTGAGGGATGGATGTGAGACTGCAAAGGACAGGCAGGAGTTAGAGAGGAAGAACTACACAGAGGATTCATATAAGGTATGGGGAAAAAGACATGAAGATGTTTGACTGGATGGTGGAAAGTTCATAAATTTCCTTTTACTAGAATAAAAAAAAGTTGTTAATAAAAATCTATGTAGCAACAATCAGTATACAGTAAGTCTTGACAGCCTGCTGCTGAGATCTTGATTTATGTCGGTGTCGTCCTTTAACATTCACTGTTATACACGATCGCTGTATCATTTCACCATTCAAGGACAAAAGGAAGATACCAGTGAAAAACATGACGCAGAGTTAAACTGATCATCTGTTATCAATAACATTTACATAACGTAGCAAATTCTTCAGCCACATCTGAATTCACTCCACTGAACACCACCTGTCTACACATGCAACATGTTTGGCCTGCTTCCCTGCCGTGTCTCCTCCAACACAACTAATGAGCCTTGACGTTTGTGGAATGAGCGGGAAAACAGTTCAGGCCCCCCCACACCCTGGAGTTTTCATGAAGATCCTGGAAGCCCCCTTCGCTTCACTGCTAAAAAAAAAGACCTTCAGCTTTCACACTCAAGGAAACACGAGGCAGCATTTAGGATAGGGGAGACAGGTGGAGGGTTAGATTCCTGTCCGCCTGATGTCTATGGACCGTGGACAGTAGCTGGGGAGCTGGAGCATATGGAACTCATTTGCCGGCTCCACCGGTTCATGGTGTGATGGAGCCGTTGGCCCTCAGCGAACGAGATGCTGCAGGCATTACACGTGCCTGGCATAAGGGATTCAAGGTTAAACAGCAGCCCAGGGCTTGGAGAACCCCACAAGTACATCCAAAACACAAACATGTGCACATCAACAGGTCAGCAATGGAAAATGTGAGCTCAGACCGAAAACATTTGAGATTTGCTGAGCGCAGCAACAAAACACAACTGGAAATAGATCAAGATGGGACACTTATTGTTTAGATGCCTCAAGGTCAGAACCGTGAACTCCGAGGATGAAAATCAGCACAAATTACTGACATGTGGTTTGAAGGCCTTCTCAATGTGTACATCTGTGCCAAAGTGCGACAACAGTATCGTAGGATGTGGGGAGAAGGCAGGGAGGCGGAGTCCAACAAATTAATGATTCACACGAAGCTGAGGTAAAAGCAAATAATCGCAAAAATTTGGCATTACGTCAGATCTTCAGCACAAGTTCTATTAACACCAGTTCCCAAGAAAAGCTGTATTTCTTGTAAATGTATTCCTGCATCTCCGGGAACTTCCTGGAAGTTGCGGCCGACAAAAATCTCCGTGGACTAATCCTCGGTGGAGGTGACACAGGCTATAGAATGACTGTTATCTCTGCAAAATGTGGAAATGAGTGTCACGTAAAACTCTGCAGGAAACTTAGGAGTAGGAGCTAAAGATAAATGTACTCATTAAGAGCATGCACTTTCTGCAGCAGCTGGAAGTTTGATTTGCCATAGGCAATAATGATGCAGCACCATCCTCACATCATCCATCACCGTCTGGTGAGGGCAGGAGCCAAGCACAGTTAATCATCCTGCACATAGTGTCTTTGTAACATCTTCAAATTCCATTTTAACACGTTACGAAAGGTCAAGCTCTAACTTGAACATAACAGGCTGTGTGGAAGAACTTTGACCCAAAGCCGCCGCTGGTGTAACAGATACAATAGAGACAGATGAACTCATTGTCTTTGTTATTGAATACTGTGATTTCTGTAGTGTTCCTTCCATAATGCTAACTATCTAGGTGTAATTAAAATGTGTTAAAGAAGTTAAAGACACAAAGCAGTTCAATGTACACCGTTATGTTTTCTCACGTCATCACAAATAAACCCATCAGGAGTTTATTTCGAATTTTACCTTCGTCTTTTGTTTTGAAGCTCCAAACTAACGGCTATCAGGCTATTGTTTACTGTTGTGTGACAACATCTGGATCCTTTAAAAAACATCTCACGAGTGAAACAGAAGTTTAAAATATATTTCTGGACTGGAGAGGAATTTTGCAACAGGAAAAACAAAATACGGGTTTGATGAAGTGTTAAATCTGTTGTCGGGAAATCCTTTGTTAAAGAACCTTCTCTGCCAGCAAACCTGCTAAATCACTGCACGTTTCCTACAGCCTGTGTGTAGTTCCTGCATCTTTTTATCAACTGTTATGATTATAAAGCAGGCACAGACAAATAACAAATAGTTCAGCAAAGGCTAAGTACATCTTATTTACAATGTTGTTTGTGTCGCAACAGACATAAACATGTGTTTTATGTCAGTGTCATCTGTTGTCTGATTATTTTAAACGATGTTCAGCCCAAACAAAAGCATTTCAGTCAGCATTTGTATCATTTGTGCACCAGTTTAACACTAGGGGCAGTAAGACTGAATTTATCATATACAGCAGAGGAAGAACAAGGAGATAAGAATGTTAGAAAATGTTTAAGCAAATAACTTTAAAGTGCAACACAGCAGAAAGCACAATCATCTTTAAGTAATGCTGATATTTATCGTGAGTTTGAAAATATTACATGATGCTTAAATTAATATCAGTTATGGATTATTGTTTCTCTGTCCACTGTATGTGGCTGTGATTGAATGGCTGTTGAACTGTACAGGTTGTGCGGCGCGTTTTGCCTACATCTGCTGAGACTCCTGTTCCCCTGAGAAAATAAATTATAAAAATAAATAATTGTTTAACTTTAATTCTCATTCATTCATATTTGCTCATTTACAAGTCAAAACCTAGAGCCAATCCCTGCTGAGAACAGGCAGGTCATGCACAGGTCACCTGATCCTATGACCATCCGAGGGTCATGTCAACAACCATCACACTCACAGGTCTTATTTGTGTCCTTGGGTGACTTGAAAGGCGCTTTTAAATAAAATATATTATTATTATTATTATTATTTACTAGGTCTGCCATATTGTTCATAAATCTCTGCTCTGTGTTCATTTGTAGAAAGAAGCCCAAATCTTTGGAGAGAAACTGTGCAATAATCCGAAAATCATAAAAAAAGAAACTCCACATCCAAACTGGGAAGTCAGTGTTTGTCTGACTCACTCTCTTGCACAGGATAACGGTTACAATAAAAAGTCTGATATCACCCCACACTCACTTAACACCTCATGGAACCCCTTTGATGTGTTAACAACCTGCACATCCTCTTCTCCACACCTGTCCGTGTCATTTCTGTACATGTCTGAAAGCTATTAGTGAACTGTTCTCACTTGTGTGGTGATGTCCCAGCCGTCCTCCAGGCTGAGGAGAACAGATGAGCCGGTGTCCAGAAGCTCCACCAGAAACAGTGCCAGCTGCAGGATCTTGTGAATCTGTGAGGGACCAACATGCACACACACACACAGACACTGGATTAATTAACCCTTTCCATACAGTAGGCTACAATGTTGCTGACAGACCATATGTTGCCTATTCAGAGTTTTGCAAAGATAACATATTTGGACAGACTGTTTTATATTCCCTGTAAAGACAAAGACTGGAGACAGTCTATCTGATACACAGCCCAAATATGCACTGCTTTTTATCAATGAGCATTAGTCTCACTTTAGGAAAACTTCAGTGCAGATTTATTCATTATTTATCCATATTATGAGTCTGATACAGAAGATGTTAAGGCAGAGTGGTGTCAGACTTCTTAATTCATTCCTTTAACTGACAACAATGTGGCGAGCAAGCTATTTTGTATTTTACCTGCTGCATCCATTCAGAATCCTCCAAGGCTTTGAGGAAGGAATTGGCAAATTCGGAACACATGGAACTGGGAGCACAGGCCCTCAGCAGCTTCTTGAAGGAGGCTTTCACCTGCCGTGTGTCAGCAAACTCTACTGGCACCAGTTCACAGTTGAGAGAGGAGTCCACTCTTAGACCCTATCAACACACAGTTGTTTTTTTTTTAGTTTTGAGACACATAACTAACCCCTAATGCTTATGATATCAGGTTTAACTTGGGGAATGGGTACATTTAATCAAATAATTCAATTCAAATAATATGTTAACTGTTAAATAGACATTAAATCTGCCTTTCTAGATTTCTGTCTTTTTATTATTTTATTACTTCTCTGGTTTAGTACATTTATGGTATAGTATAAAAAAACACTGAAATGAATAGTTAAACCCAAAAAATATAACCCCAATTTAAAGATAAGTAAATCGAGGTATACATTATTTATGTTTTTTTACAATTAAAAAAATGTGAAGAAGAAACATTTACTTTGGCTTCCATAATAATCTTAAAAGCTTCTAGAATGAATATAAATCTACAGCAGAGTGGTTTGTTTTGGATTAAAACAGAGAGATTTATCATTACAGATAAAGTACAACCACACATTCCCTCAGTCACCAGCATCTGTGTCGTCTGTCTCACCCTGAGATGTGACTTTTCACCCAAGATGTACAGAGCTGCTTGGTGTTTGAGAAGCTGAGCCTGCAGACCGCTGCTTCCTGCAGGGGGTGCCAGATCTTTCTCTGCTAGCCTGGAGCCAACGTCTGCAGCCAGCGGGTGCTGACTGAGCCTGCTGCTGGAGCGCAGGCTGGCCCACACACCTGCAAGGATACACAGTTACAAATATACGCACGAAAAATAACAAAACAAAAACAAAACACACGCGTGCACACAACAGGGACGTACACATGCTGTTAAACATGCAGGCTAGAGTAGTTAAAATGCAGGGCAGTACAACAAAGATCACACACAAAGACATCCTCAGTTCATCAACAATGAAGAGAACTTAAGGAGCAGCAGGGATCAGGCATCTTTCAGAGATTTTTTTTTATACAGTAAACACCTTCATCACTTTTCAGTTACAACTCCAACAACTCTTGGTCTAATGATAGCATGTACACACGCAAAGGGTGCTTATGTAACGACCTCTGACCTTATTGATGTCAAGTCTCAGGCGTCACAAACACGGCCCTATAGTGAAATGTGAACTCTTTGAAAAGCTGTCAGTGACGCCTTACACAAATATGACATGTGTATTTTACTATAAGTCATGTGTACGTAGAACCTAGACAAATATGTAGAGTAAGGAGGAAATTAGTAGATTAATTTTAACACTGAACGTTGTTGTTTCCTGCAACCTATTAAAAAGACAATAATTAACTTGTAAGAGCAGGAATTCTCGTTCTTTTACAGGCCTTTTTATTCTATTGCTTTCACACCCCTTTGTATAATTTCCAGCAAAATTCATGTAATGTTGTATTTAATCTTTTTGAAACTAAAAGATAATTGTGTGCCAACTTTAACTTATGTAGGAACCAACTTTAATCAACTTTAGGGTTTTTATTTAAACTACATTTGGCTACCTCTGATCTGTTTCTATTTGATTCCCATGGCTTTTGGCTTATTTAATGTTTATTGGACAAAGTTCTTTTTATTAGGCCTTTCTAGCTTTTGTTTTCATAGAACAACTAGATTAGGTTAATTTTACATTTACCCCAAGTTATTTCTTGGATTAAAAAATATTAAATAAGTGTTAAATGTTTCTATCTATGATAATTTTTCTGTAGATTTAGCAAAAAGCATAAAATAGATTTTAATCTATTTTTGGTGATTTGTTGGTTCACCTTTGTAAATGTTTTTTTTAGTTCTAGCCATTTTTACATAAAATGTTCAACAATGTACTGGTTTTATGGCAAATAAATGTTTTGCAATTTTATTTGGCCCTTTATAAAAACTACTTCTGAATATACTTTATATACTCAGTCTGTGTGTTCTTTTATGGCATAAAAAAACATAGCTGAAGAAGCCACACTCTAAGAGTGTGTTCTGTGTGTGTGTGACAGTGTGATTCTTTACTGGCCTGCCATGACAAACAGCTCTGCTTCCTCATCTGTCTGGACCTGGCTCTGAACTGACCACAGTAAACCCTGCTGCGCCAACACATTAACAATAGCTCAGGCCACATAACAGCAGCCACAATGGTTTGTGAAAAACCACAGCTCCCTGAAGAGCAGCCGCAGAGTCAAACAACATTAGTACTGTGTCTCTCAGGCGCTCTGTGAAGACACAGCGCAGTGAAGCTGTTAGTGAAGCTTGGTTAGTGTGAGGGAAAATGAATGGGTTAGTGTCTGGAGAATGAGTTAGACCTTTGATGGACTCTACCTTGTTGATGGGTTCTGTCCTTATGGGGTACGTTTGGGTTGGATATTGTGAATAGTTTATCTCTGTACTCAAGAACTGCATTGTAGACATGGATAGGTTAGAAGGAAGGAAATAAGAAACAAAGAGAAAGAAAGACAGACAAAGAACGAACGGAACAGAGAGGAGAGAGAGAGGGCAAAGAAGGAGGAAAGTGAAAGAGATTGGTAATTGGTGGGAAAGTGGGGGAGAGTCGAGAATAAGAGAGAGAATGAGACAGAGAAACCGGGAGAGAAAGAAAGTGAAAGAGAAATGGAGGTAAAAAAAAAAGGACAAAAGGAGCGGGATTGAGAGAAAGATGTTAAAAAGAAGGAAAGGGGTCAAGGAGAGGTAGCAGAGAGGGAGAGAAAGAGAGGGAGATAACAGAAAAAGGAAGAGAGAAGGGAGATGGGAGATAAAGAGTAAGAAAGAAGAGAGGTAAAGAGAGTGTCAGAGAGATAAAAATAAGGTGGGGGAGAGAGAGAAAGTAAGGAGAGATAAAGAGAGAGCATTATTACCACCTCCCCCCAAAAAAACATAAATCATGGCCCCCCACCTTAGAGCTTGGACAGTGATGCAGATGAAGTGATAAAGTGCTCTGTGTATCAATGAATTAATCCTGGTCACATGATGCATGAACATGTGTGTGTTGAAGGTTATAAATGATGGAGTAGAGACAAAGGGCCACCTTTAGTGAAAGGAAGTTTTAAAGAAGACATAAATGTAATAGAAGCTGGTGTCCATTTGTTGACTGTTGTCTCCACCATGTACACTCCCTGGTTATTATTATTATTCTAGTAATAATAAAAATACCACATCACTGTGTGTATATATATATATATATACACACACAGTATAACGGAATATCTTTTTTTATTGTTCTCCACAAATCCTTTACAAGGTATTTGTGTACCTTACTGCATATGGATAATGTATAGGATTACAAAATAGTACAAAACAAGTCACCAAATGTATTCATCAATCGAAAAAGCAACCTCGTATATTGCAGATCCCATTTCTTCTCGTCATGTTTTACCTCCTGTGACATTGGGAAAAATAACCTTCTCTAAAGTAGCATAATTACATTTCATCTTTATATCATAAATGTCAGAGTTCAGAAAATTGAGTTTATTTTTGGTACTTCTAAGCTGAAAAAGTACTTGTCTGTGTGTGGCAATGACTGACTCAGTGTTTACTCCTCTGTACACTCAGTACAGTACTATGATGTTAACATGGAAGTGGAAGATAAATGACAGTGAAACTAAGCTTAAAAAGATAAAACTTAATATTGATTCATTTTAAAATACTTTTGGCAACTCGTCCACCTTTGACCTTCCATCCGAAACATTGAACAACACCTCGAACATACACTGACAAAACACAACATGTGCCTCAGGATAAAAAAAGAACAGTCATTATTACTAATGGTTCTTTCAGCAGAGTTCACATTCCTGTTTACACAGTCACCCTGATGGATCATCTTAACAGTACATTAAGTTTTTTTTTCTGGAGGACCCAGTTAACAGAAAGGCTCATACGCAGTGAAACCGTTAGGGTCATAGGAGGCATGTGTTTCATCACAGTCACGCATTTCCATACACTACATGCTGTTGTAACCACTATCTGTACATTTACACCCTGACTAGTCAATCATTCAGGAGATTTATGTCAGCAGGTTATTATTAATATTGTGTATTACAAATGTCTGTTACATTTTTGAGGAAGATGTGCTTTGTCTTGTAGTTTTTTGCAGTGCTGTAAATGTTCAAAACATTTTCTGAATACTTTATCGTCAAGGTATATACAATATTGTTCAAAAAATATTAGGCATGTGTTTAAATTTATGAAAACCTAATTTTTTTGTAGCCTTATCAGGTGTGAAAGCAAATGTGGAGAGCCACAAGCTAATTCCTACATAACTAGCTTTCACCAGCTAGTTATGTAGCTTGAGCCAACTATGTAGTTATAGCTAGCTATACAGCTACTGCCAGCTAAATAGCTACAGCAATCTATGTAGCTATATGTAGCTACGTCGGTATGGCTAGCTAGGCATATTACTGATCAAAAACCATATTTTGTAGAACAATTTTAAACCCTGTCGTCTGAGTAATTGAAAGAATATTTTAAGAAACTGTTTTTATTTGTAGAATGTTTGCTTATAATAGAATCCACACTTACTGTCATTCATCATATTGACTATTTGAGCCAAAATGACAAAAACAACATGTGGACAACAATTTGGAACAGAGGGCAAAAATAATACCAAAAAGACAGAGAGGGGAGAAGAATCTGGAAAACCATATTCGGGTATAAACAAATGAACCGCCTCTTCTCACATGCAACTTTTCCATTAACTTGACGATGTTGACAAAATTGTTACTACAGTCTCTTGAATGACCGTCCTGTTCTTCTGTGGTATTTTGACTGGCACACTATCAACACACACGACCTACGGACTAAAAAACAGAAAAGACAAAAGACAGAAACCACTCACCTCCTCTGGTAAAGCTGTTGGAGAACGGGAAGTCTATATGGACAGGAGCCATCTTTGCTATCCTGGACGTCTTCCTTTCACTACCTGAGGACAAATTATCAACAGGGGGGTAAAATGAGATGGATGGCCTGGACAGTGACCCCAGGTTGTCATGTGATCCTTACATAACCTCTAATTGTACACATTTCCTTCCAAATCTTGTACAGCCTTATACTCAATTCAGTATTTCACAAAACACTTCCTTTCTTTCTCAATGGCTCACGCGGAAACTCTCTTTCACACACATGCATACCCGCACACAAAGACAACTTAGGATGTTTCTGGTTTGCTGACTAGCAGAAAAAGGATGGGAATGAGAAATTATAGAGCTGGAGTGAACAAAAATAAATCTGCTGAGTGAAAGTCTGCACTCTTTATCAGAAGAAAAGAAGTCTATTCGACCCCTCGTCCCCTGAAAACAAACACATTTTTTTCCCACGAGGACAACAAGGCCATCACTGCACATTCAGGTGAGGTGAGAGCTCAGGACCTTTGGTTCAGAAGAATATAAACCTTGCAGCAGTGATGGCGCCCTGCAAGGGTCTGATGACAAGTATGTGTAATAAACTATGCTGGGTCTAATGATGCATTTATTCCAAATGGAAGTGCATTCACCAAGATGGAGTTTTAATATGCACTAAATGTTCTGTATTTTTTTAAAGGGTGTAATAATGTTGAGCAGCTGGTTAATAATAAAAGCAAACAAATGTTGGTACGGAACAAGCTCTCAGAGGCAGCTTAGTTCTTACTGAAGTTTCTCTATGGTTTTTACAAACCTGTTTTCAATTGATAACACTACGGTGGCGGCACGCCATTTTTTTTGTTCCAGGCACTTACCAAGTCCAACCATGGGTGAAATCCTGGATCCAAAACAGTTTGAAAGTGGTTCTGATTAAACTGGTACCAATTACAGCCAGACAGCAATGATCAAGAAAAACGAACAAACTGTCCCATTATCTGACATAAATGCCTGTGATGTTCTAGTGGATTGAATTTGTAATCACTGAATGTTACAATTACATAGTCTGTTGTGACTAAAACAACCTTTTTTATATATTTTAAGTATGTTTTATACATATCTGATCTTAGATTTGTCCAAGATCAGATATGTTTTTTTTTGTTATAATGCAAAGTTTACAATACAAAAGTGAACTGTGAGGCTGAACAGAACTCTGTACCTGGCGAGAGGCCGATAAGTGAGCGGTTGGACAGAGTGTTGTTTCCATTCATTTTGAAGTAGACAGGAATAGAGTTTAGGATGGCCCGCAAGTACTTCTCTTGTTCCAGGCTACTGGACGAATCTGATGATTCTGAAGACAAGAAGACAGACAACACAGAGAGGACAATCAGGGTCACAGTTTAAAACGTGTTTAAAAAAATAACCAGCATGATAACCGTGTCTTTTTAAAAGTACTTACTAAGAGCCTCTACTGTACTACACAGTACACTATAAGTCCCACTGTTAAATCATTTGCTGTGGAACATAAACTAATTTCCAACATGCAGGAGACTTAATAGACGGTTGTGATTTTTTACACCAAACTAGCCCATCACAGATGAGAATAGTAGAAATTACATTAGACATGAATTAAAACTTGATAAAAATCGATTGACACATTTATATGTTATCATAAACAAGAACCTGGAAGACAACAGCATTGCTTATGTACATTATATATATATATATATATAATACATTTTCCAGTATGGATTGAAAAAAATATATTTTGGAGACAAATACTCTTGCACAATCATAATCATAATCAAATGAGATGAAACATTGATTGACATTATATAAAATATATGGCAATGTATATGCAATGCTATTTCAGGAGCTGAACAGTGTTTTCCCCCTATTTTAAAAGTAACATACAGTATCTGATCATAACTGAATCATAACAGCTCAGTGCTTTAAAATCCTGAGTTGTTCGAAGTGGGGACTGACCAAAAAAGTTTGAGAACCACTGATTTCACCTGTCATGTATTTTTCTGAACACGTATGTTGTGTATGTTTGGGTCAAATCCTCCCCATAGAACAAAGTGCAAAAACAGTAACTTTGGTCTTAAATGAAAACCAATTTCTGATAGGGTTTCACTGTAAATCTTTGTGTTCCTTGTGTGTTTCCTCACCTGTGGATGACGTGTTCTGAGACTTAAACAACCCCACCACACTCTTGCCGTGGAAGCCTCCTGACCGCATAAGGACAGCCTTGGTGCGAGGATGCTTCCAACACACGACAGGCAGGCGATTGTGTCGGTAGCAGCGAGCGACTTTGTGTAAACTGCTGTCCTGCACTGCCTGAGGAACTACCAGCAGCCCTGGGTAACTGAGCCAGACAGAGAGAAAAGAGAGTGGTGAGAGGAGATGAGATGAAGAAAAAATGAGATAAGGGGCAAAATCTCAAACAAACATGACTTAATGAAACAGCATTTTGACAACAGCTAACAGCCACTGAAAAGCAATTTGTTCAGGGACATGCAGCTGAATAAATGATCTCTTTGAGGATCTATAGCCAGGATCTGAGTAGGATTTTGGCTGAATTAGTCACAGAATGTGTGTTTTCTGTACAACAGACTGGATTTAAATCTTGTAGTCGTAGCAGATAAGTAAAACATCTGTCTGCCATCAACAACACCCGCTTCCATTGGCTTTTGGAGATACTACAGCTGAGAAAACTAAAGTCAGATGTGCGGAACCAAACTTATTTTTTCAGTACACTACGTCTGTGATGAGTGAGATCGGTGTAAATCTGCAAATTACTGCCGAGGCTAACGGTCACCGAGGGAGGCGCCCTACCTGCGGCAGAGCGAGTACAGCCTGTTCACCGCTGTGATCTTGAAGTGTTCGCCTGATTTGGAGCGAGAAGAGCTGGCAGTGATGGTGCCCAGACCCAGACGCTGATAGTCACGGAAACAAGACTGTTCCACCAGCTGTTCCATTGTGGACTTTTCTGACGCTCGCAAAGTGCTGCTCGGTGGCGGCTCTCCATCGTCTGAAACTATACATTTTGTTATTTATTTAGTTTAGCATTTTACTTGAATTATGAATTATTTTCTCAGTCAGACATTTTCTTGTGTCACATATCTATTAATGTTTATCTCACTTGAAATATCATCATCTTCGTGCCAGGTCATTCTGCTGCCTCTCTCGTTCTTCTTCAGTGTGTTTTGGCCACCACGACCCATGGTGATTTTTCCTGCCCTTTTTGCACTCTTGACAAGAGTTTTGGACAATGTTCTAAGGGAAACAAAGGGGAGAAACAATCAGCTTCAGTACTGTAACTTCTCAGTCTTTTTTTATTTGTGGAAATATAATTAGGAAGTGGATTACAGTTGGTGCTCAATGATCGAGACAAACCTTAAGCCTGTGTTCCTTTCTTTCTGCTTTGGCAGGATTAGCTGCGGCACTGTTTGACCTGCTGCAAATGCAAAGAAGCTGAAGATGGACTGAGGGTAACGAATCCTCTGAAGGTGCTTCCTGAAGATCTCCACCATCTCTGAGCTGACCTCTTCATCAAACGCCACTTTTATTAACTGGAAAATGAAACAAAAAAAAGTCAGTGACTTAACACCACATGCATTAACTTGCCTGACACGCACTCACACTCACACTCAAAACAAAAGTGTCTACATAACAAGTCCACAAATGCCAAGGGACCAAATCCCTCAAAAGGCACAGCCACTTTTCTTTATCCGTGTTTGTCAGACAAAGGAATGGACCATAAAATGTTTTACAGCACCATGTCTAAAGACTAAAAACACATGCTTGGCTCCATCAGTTTCTTTTTGGATTCTTCATTCATGTTATGAAACATAAGACATGGGCGTTTATAAAAGAAATACCACAAAGAAGGTTCTGTAATTTCTAGGTTGCATAGTTGTCATATTTTGTATAATTTTAAACTCAAAAAATAACGTTAAGTAAAGTTCATATAAAGAACCACAGATGCATCTTTGTTATGTCTATGACTTAAGTGAGTGTGTGTTCTTGTGTTGACCTGAAAGGAGGCAGATCGGAGCTGCAGGCCGTCCTGGATGAACGGATGCAGCTGGTTTAAGACACCGATCTTCTTCTCTTTGGTCAGTGTGGACACAGGGAAAGCTCTGATGACGGCCTGCTCTCCCACTGGACACAGACAAGAACACATGAACAACTGACCACAGTCGTCACACAACTGGACACAGTGCAAACCACCTGTTCAATGTTAAGGTTTTGGAAAACATTTCAGTAATGACAACAGGCGTTGGGAAGTAGGATTTTGACTGACACACTGTGAAAATACTGACAGTTACTACAGTTTTGTGATGACTGTCAGTGCCCAAGTAAATCATGTTCCATTTCCCATTAGCTCTACATATTTATACTTCAACACCACAAGAATTTCAATGGTCATTTTGTGGCAGAAAAAGTTATTGTATGTCTTTGTATTAACTGACAGATTTCTTTTGAGAATTTTACAAGTCTTTTTAGGGCAAATCAATTTAATTGACTAAGAAATTGTCAACTGAAAACAGTCTCTTACTTTTATAAACACTACATTTTTAGAAAAACAAACATTATTTGTACAATAGTTTGTACAAATATTTACCAGGAATTTTTGGGATTTTATTCAGGTCATTCTCTGTAATAATTTCCCAGAACTCTAAGGCCCAAAACTATATTTTGGTTTTCGCTTCTGTGCAGGTAGTGTGAACAGATTTAATCACACACATATGTTCAAAGCGATGCCAAACTCTGACTTTGACATCAAGGCAAAATGTAAAAAACAAGGCAAGCTGAAGACTTGTTGGAGATGATAGGACGTAAATGGATTATAATGATTTTTTTTTTTTACATAGATTGTGAAACTCTCATTCAAAACAAGCAGATATAATGTTTTTAATTATGTAATAAATTAAGAATTATCTTGGCTCTGGTTCTGCCGTGCTACAGTATTTACCCAGTGGATCATGAGGAATGCCTTTAAAGACGATGCGATATGTAGTGAGAAAAAGAGCTCCCTCTGCTGGCAGAATGTGAGGCCCCCCCAAAAGGCCCGCAGTGGCCTCCTCCCTGCCATCGGGGTCCAGAACAACCCGCAACCCTTCCAACACCAACTCCTCTCCGGGGAAGAGAGTTGGGCGCAGAATCTTAGGCTGTAGAAAAATTTAAATAAAGAGATGTTCAAGAAAGAACATTAGAAGCTGGGACAAACACATATGCACAAACCTGCACGTAAACAGTTCTTTGCTTCCCTTCAGACATTTCTGGCTGACACTTCATTACTCAAAATGAAGGACGTGGAAAAAACATTTGCGTCAGTTAATCAGATTTCTACAAAGGCCAGGAAATTCATCACACTCACGTCAAAATCGGAACAGCACATCCACGATGTACAAATTTAAGCTTTGCATGCACAGCGTCGAACCGGCAGACTCAGAATTAGCAGTGCATTATTAAAACCAAATTCATGCTGTCTGTAGAGACCAATTTGCCATCAACCCCTCAAGCAAAAACATGTGATCTTTTTTGTTTTTCCATGGAAAATTTCTCTTTTTGGTTAAATTGTGTAATCATACTTTTCATATTGTGTTTCAATAATTTGAACATATGGACCCTGACTGAGTGACTAACTAAATGAACCAATACTTTTCATTGTATTAAAATCTACAATACAACAACTTTCAAATGTACAATGCAGGTGTATAATTACTGTTTATTTTAACCACCCTGTTTTAAGAAGAAAAGTGTAACTAAAAGTGTTTTTAATTCATAGAGTAAATATCCTGCATATATGTTTTGCCAACATAATGTGTGTGGGTTTGGGATTAGGGTTTTCCATAAGACAATGCCAATTATTATCAGTTAAAATATTATTATGTGACACATGCGGTACTAATACTGTATATCTTATTTTAAATAAATACAAATAATCACTCTTTTCAAGAACACACATCTTTTGACTACCCCCCCACAACCTCCCACCCTGAGAATACACGAAAGTAGTCTTAAATGGACAATATGGATGCCTCTGATGTCTCTATAACAGTAAACCTCAGCAAATAACTAAAATATTTGTATAAAATTTCACTGTGCAACAACTACACCAGACTGTTTGGACACTGGACATTACAAAATATATAAAAGTAGAAAGATCCTATTCCATTCTACTCTGTACTCTCTCTGCACTTTTACTTTAAAATTCAAATCACCCCTTGTTTTTCACTTGTGATGCATTATTGCAATTTTTCCTAAAACAACAACCTCTCATAGGACAAGAGATAAGACAGTATTATGAGTAGTTTAAAGACAAGTTATAGGTTGGCCTAAAACAAACAAATATCGCTAAAACAGTGGCAATAAATGAATGCAACAAATCATATTTCAAAGCCTTAAAATATCCTGTTCATGCCTTCTTTGCCCCAGTAGGTCAGTAGAGTAATAGTCTACTTGACAAATAAGAGCAATAACGGATTCTCTCCATTAACTTCATGGTCGGTATAGTCGTTGGTTACTGAAAAAAAGTCTTCCCTTAAAGAAACACTGACACAAAAAACAGAGTCCTTATAGACCTGATACGACCTGAAACTATTTGCACATTTTATAGGAGTTTGTGTTTGTCATGCAGCTGAGAGCGAACAGCCCAGGTTGCATGCTCAGTCCAACACTATCACCATGTAAGACATCAGAGGGCAGCAGACAGACTGCTCACCATGGACTCCAAGCTGTTCTCCAGGACCAGGCAATGCTGGCAGCGTGTTTGTCTGTGTGTGATGGTGAGGAAAGGGTTTTACAGTGAGCTGGCAGACATACAGCACAGCACTGTGACAGTATGAAAGTGAAATGACATAATGAGTGGCAGTGTGAGTGCGGGATGTAGGTGTGTACTGTATGTTATAAAGTCTTTCACACAGTGGTTCTCAAAAGGGGGCTTCAGAAAGGAAAGGAAAACTATTTCTTTTAGGCTCTTTCTTCGGATTAATTGTTTATGAAATATATGAAGAGTATTATATACTGTATCAAATAATTCTATCAGAAAAATAAAATAAAATAAATAAAACTGTAAAAAAAATATCAGTGGAAATCAAGCACTATAATAAATAATTAATAATTTCAGATTATACCTCAAATTAGGCCATTATGTTTTGCAGTCTTTATATTAAAAGCAAAGCAAAGACAATGGAGTGAAGAAATGTTATGATAACAGTAGTAATTTTAACCTTACATACTCTGAAGTGTCCAGTGTACCATGTTCTTATGGAGTACTGGTATGTCAAAAACCATGTGTTAAGAAGTAATGAAACAACTCTTCAGCACATTTCAGGATTAGTGAAAATTGGTTTGTACAAACAGACATTACTTTGTTGTTAGATTATTAATGATACACAAAAAGTAGGACTGTGAGCTGTTTTGTGGATTTTTTTTGCATCTGTGCATTTTTCTTTAGATTTCTGTGAGTCTTTTCATTCCTGTTAAGCTCAGTTGAACATGCTCATCCTGGATTAAACCATCAGTGCAGCCTGAGTCCTCACCTTCTGGATGGGGGGCAACCTCCTGCTTTCTCTGTGCACGGCCTCCAGAGCCTCCATCTGCATCGCTACGATACCTGAGGGTCAGATGTGGAGTTTAATAGACATGTAACACACATGTACACACAGAATACGCTCTTAAAACAATGTGCGTATTTACAGATTTCAAGGCCATTAAACATGTCAGAGGTTTATTAGCTCAGCTCAGAGGAGAACGCACTCATCTGATCTGAAGCTGAGGAAATGAGACGGTGGCAGTCAGTGGACAAACACTGAGAGTGATGTACCTGGGATCATGCTGTGCAGGCTCTTGATATGCTCCTGGGTAACTCCGCTCTCTGTGCACACCTTGTCAATAAAGCGCGCAACAAACCTGACCACGAAGTTGGCCACGTCACTGGTCTCCGAGTCCTCGAACCCGCTCTCTGTGTCGAAGCTCTCAGCCACACTGCCGGCAATGCTGTTAAATAATGAGCAGAGGCGGAGTTCACATCTCAGAGATCTCAGAGTTGCTAGGTACTGAGTTATTAGGAATCGTTCAGTGGCTGCATTAAGATAAATGCAATTGATTTACAGTTGTAAAAGTTTCCATACAGTGAAGATTATATTTCTCTCTGTTTACTGTACTATATACACATGCAAAAACTACTATTTATCGTGATAGTAAAAAAACAGCTGTGTTTGAGAGCATATACAGCAGTTGGAGCTATAGAATCCATAACAGATATATGGCCCTTGAGGTGTGGTAAGTTACTGCTTTCCCTATAGCCACACAGAGACATAAAAAATAAAATCTAATAGATTGCTTTTCAGTGTTGCCAGTTCAGACCTAATGTTCATCCGGTCAATGTCAAGTGTCACTGAAAAATTCACAAACCAATTATGTTTTACTGCTGACAAACATCATGATGAAGACAATAAGGAAAAGCAGATGCGGAGCAGAGTGTTGTGCAAAGGAACAAAGTGTACCATCTTTGTGGAACATAAAAACAATTCAGTTTGTTTCCTGTGCAGCAAAGTGCTGCAAGTGATGAAAAGTTTAATTCTCATTAACATATTAAGACACGCAGCCAAACTGGTGGAGTTGAGGGAAAGAAATTCCCATTTTATCAAATGAATGTTTGGTAAGTAAAACCCAGTGAAGAAGAAGAAGAAACTTTAGCTCAACCAGAACTTGGGAAGAAATTCTTTGCTGCTGCCTCTGCTGCTACAGATTTGATCAACCCAGACAATAACAGACATAATGTCTGTTTACTTTTTGATATGGCAGAAGTCCCTGAGGGAAAAAAAACAAGCACATTTTCAGACTTTCTATCAAGATGTGGGAGGAATCTGCAACCAAAACGGACAAGAAAAAATAAATTTGAATAAGTTTATATGTATTTGTTAAACCGCTGAGTTTAACAGGAAGATGTATTGTTGTTTATAAATTGTAATGCACAGCTCATTTACATTTTACACAAAAATCCTCATGCAAGAGCTGACCTACATTAAGGAGATAGTCACTTCATTTGATGGCAGCTGTTTACAGTCTCTTACTCTATCTCAGAAACGTTCAAACTGGTTCTAATGTGTTGGTCAATTCTGAATAAAACGCTAAACTAAAATACACTTAGAGTGTTGCTTTGCGACTACATTATGTTAGTTTTTTTCTTTATTATGTTACTAAGAGATTAGGGGTCTCGATTATAGAGGAATTATGGTGTTATTTTTGTCATCAATGATAATCAACTGCTTGGAATCTATCAGTCCAGAAGAATGTTTCTCTGTGATGCAACCTGTCCTCTGTGAGTACAAAGAGTAAATGATGAAAACCAAATGTCTTATGTGTAGAACAAACAAGTCTGGGGCAAAATGTGAACTAAAGATGGGAAATTTCCACTCCAAAAAATCCTGGCGCAGGCTATTTGTGATATTCAATCAAAATGGAGAAAAAAAGTCATCACAATGTTCTTTTGGGTATTCGAGATTAGGCTTCAAAAATCATTACAGTAAGATAACAAAAAGTTTATGAGGAGGTACTTTGTTAGTTTGTCAGAAAAAAAATGATTCTGTTACACCGTGTTCTTTTGGCTATTAGGCTTTTCTATGAAATGTAATGTAATGCAATGTGGGGGTTTAGTCCCACATTTATTTTCATTCAACAGAGGAGCGCAGGAAATCACTTTGACTGTTGTTTTGTTTGGGTGAATACAATGCAGTCCCATAACAGACAACCTGAGGGTTTTAACCACAAACTGCAGGAAGTGAGTTTGTTTTAGGTTGGATGGACAGATGTGGGCCGGAAACAGCGGAGGAACATCGTTCCATTTGGCTAAATCGAAAGGTATCGAGTGCACATGGACATTGGCTACGTCCACCCACAAACTTATCAACGCCTTATTAACAGAGGGAAACATATTCCCACTTCATGAAACCTTACCTTTAGATTTCCCCTAAAACAAGGCTAATTATTATACCGTGAAACTCTGAATATGCCAGAAATGTGTTCTGTCAGTGTTCTACCTCAGTGAACATTAGAGCTCTGAAACAGAAATATTAATCATGTAAAAACTGCTGTACTACTGTACTTGTCATGAGTACACGATATAGACATACTGATTTCTAAAATAATGTATTTGTGATCTAAAATGTTACTTCAGTACATGTGATGATGGGAGATGAAAAATGTTTACTGACTTTGTTACATGGAACCCCAACTCCTATCATGTTGCACGTTACTAATGTTTCCTTCTCCTTCAAACAGATATGTTCTGATCTAAGACCAGGAACAAGTAACTGAGACCATGAACTCTACACGGAATTTTCAAGAATATTTTAAATCAGGGGTCTTGAACTCCAATGAGCTCAGGCCCACTGCTGTCACTGTTATTTTACTGGAACGCCAGGTCAGATATTTTAGAAAAGGCAGTTTTTATAGTACAATTAATGAATGAATAAACAAAACAATTAAAAAAATAAATGTGCTGTGGGCCATTTCAGGTGGATTTGGCTGTAGTGGCTCGGGGGCTGGGAGTGAAAAATAGCCTAATGCTCTAATAGACTTTCTAGATCTTACTCATGCTGATGAAAACTGATTTATGTTTATTCTGGGGTTATTCTGTGGAGGATTAGTTTTAAAACTTGTTGTTCATATATAAAAGTAGGACTTATTTTGTGTCAGGTTAATGGAGGTGTACGGCCACACAAATGAGTGGAGGCTGCACATGAAGTCCATCCAAGCATGACATTAGTCTATTCAGATTTCAGTGATTATTATTAAAACATTGTGTATTTTATTTTAACCAAACATGTTTGGATCATACCAACATTCCAACTTCCCAGTGTGTTTCATTTTCTGACCTGTTTGTAACAATGCTGTTGCTGCCACTCTCCCAGTCAGCAGCAGGTGCGTTCCGCAGCAGCTTATTCTTACTGGTGTCCAAAGGCACCAGCAGGTAAACCATGAGGCTGGCATAGTGTATGGCCTGGCTGAATACGGTGCTCTCCTCGTTCTTCACCAGCTCATGCTGCTTTTCTTTGCTCAAACACGGCCACGACCGTAGCTGCTCTGCTGCCAGGTCCATGGCCGTCTGCTCCTCATCTCTGTCCTCTGTGGGCCCGGTGGCTGCATCCTGGAGAGATGTTTTTTGTTGCTTACTGCTTAGTTGTTTGCCCCAATGTGTTTACATGCACAGCACAAACATTAGCTTTTTTAAAATTATAATTAGAGATTATAAAACCATGAAAATTGCAATCAGTAATTGAACATGGGAGCACCACAAAAATGAAGTCAAAAAGTTGCTGTGGGATCTCAAACCTCAGGCTCAAACACATTGCACTTACATAAAATAATATAGAGAAAATATCAACAAGTTTTTACAAAAAACGAATAACTCAAACATCGGACATCAAGTTGCACACTTGCAAAATAGTGTGTGTCTTGCCTTCAGCCTGGCAGTGATGACTGATTTTTCCTCCGTTGTGCTGAGATAAAGAGCTCGGATCTGGCCCTGGACCTCACTGTAAAAGGTGGCTTCCCAGAACTGCTGGTTGGTCCAGATAGTATGATCCTGGATGCAGGAGTAGGCAAACTGGTTTACACCCGGAGCCAGTTTCTGTAGAAGGAAACACAATATTGACCAGATCAGAGGTGAGGTTTCCACAGCTCAGTAGTGGCTGAACTGAATTAATAGTGATTTTTTAAAATTTTAATACAAGGTTCAGTCACTTAAAAGCTGTGTTATTGGTAAAAATGTTCAACATTTGTCAAGCATATGTACAGGTATAGAAATAACTTCTCAAACGGCTTTGTGGTGAAAGGCATTATGAATAATTCATGTATGAGGATATTTTTATATTTTTTGATATTCTCAACAGACAACAACACATTCACAATGTGATTACAAAACCAGACCCTGGTCCAAACCACTTATTGTTATTTCCTGTCTTGAATGTCATCTGCATGGAACATTTGAGTTTTGAGCCTAATGAGCCACTTGCTCCGCATATAATCACTGCTGCCCTCTCACTGTGGGCAGTAAGACTGTATTAGTAACATTTTTTTCCCACTTGGTTTGAACCGAGAAATCTCTGGACTCCAGTCAACGCCCCCCAAGAAAGGGGATTCGCCAAAACTCTACTGAGAAGTAAGAAACAAAACAACAAGTCAGCCATGGTATTTATAGTGAAATCAATCATTCTGTGCGAGTCGTAACTTTTTAGCAGATAACAACCCCTAGTGGAGCGACAGGCCACTCCTCCTTCCCTCTCAGTCTGAGGGTACTCTGTGTGGATCTGGGCTCTTGTTTTCATTAGTGTGGACGGAAGGATAAAGAGAAAAACATCATCACATCACACAAACAACGCTGACTGAATCTGAACCTGAAACCACCCAAGAACCATCGCCCATTAAAAATCAATTTTCATGCCGGATGCAATCTAAAAATAGTTTTTTAAAATGTCACTTTCGCTTACACAAAACTGAATATGTGTACATCAGCAACAACCCTGATTTGTACATTGTTAAGTTCCAAGAACAAAAAAAAAGTCTCATATTTGGAAATAAAGGTAACACTGGTGTTTCCATCAATTCTAGGGCGATGAGTCTTATCTTTGTTGAGATCTGAGATTTTTAATATTTTTTTTGTTGCTCTTTTGTTTAGTTTTTTTAAACTGCGTTAAGGAAAAAGAAACCCTACAGAACAATTTACAAAATATGTAAGTTTCAAAACTATCAAACCGTTTTGACCTAAAACCGTTTTGACCTAAAACAAGGAAATATTATTTACCACTTATTCCATCGCTCAGTCCCTGCAGGATGCGCCACTGTGCACAGCTAGAATAAGTAAATGAATTAACCTACTATACTCCTCACGCATTTGGCTGCGTTGCACAGCTAGAATAAGTAAATTAATTAACCTACTATACTCCTCACGCATTAAAATAATCTACTATTATGAAATTTAGGCCGACGCCGAGATATCATGCTGGCTAATGAGAAAAAATAATCTGGTGCTTGATCTTGTTTTTAAATAATACTTATGTTTTATTACCATATTACAAAGAGCATAAATTATACTTTCACATACAATTTTTTTTTGTCTTATGGCGTGAGAGAAAATTAGAAAAATGTCTAGACTACAGAAGGCTGGAACAGATTTAGGTTAGTGCTCCAAGATAATAAAAAAGAAAAAACTTAATCTGACAAAACAGGTTTTCCTTTTTAATTCAGATTTATCACTGTCCCTATAAAGTATTTTAACTCCCTTTTCCTGCTTACTGTCTGTCTTGACACAAAAGCGAGTTACTCACAAATGACCTGATACATAGAAGTGCCTGCCAAAGGACACCGAGTTGTAAAGGATCCAAAAACAACACTGGACTAATGTTGAAGGTATGGTCAGTTTATCTCTCTCTCATTTTCTTTAGGAACAAAAATTGGAAAAACTGTTTGAAAGTTTGGCCAAGGAAACAAGTGAGAGACAAAAGTGCTGATGTAGCTAACGCTAATGAAAAGATGCTCCAATTCCATCGCAGAATATCAGGTTTACAGGTTAAAAAATTCAAATACAGACAGAAAATTGAATGTAAAGACAATAGTCAGACTGTCAGAAAACATGGTCAAACATACGACTAGAGGAAGAATTTGGTACAGAAGTTGTGAGGGGGTGCGCACGTGTGAACTGTCCTTGTTGTCTTTACAAAGCACTACTCTTGACTCGTTAGACATGTGCAGGTCATTTTGACCGAGGTCGGCGCTTACTATTGCGATAATATGCGGAGCTTAAAGAGACGTGGACAAGACAAATGATCAAAGAGGAGGAAAGGCAGGGGAGAGACAGACGAGGGGGACTGGGAAGAAGAGAGGGAACAGGGAGAGTGGTTGCAACTATCAGACTCATTGTACATGTGACAAGTGAGGTGGAAAAATGCAATGTTGAAGGTGAAAGAGCAAAAAACAAGAAAAAAGAAAAAAAAAACCCAGAAAAACACAAGTGGAGACAGACAGGAGACCTCGGAGTCAAAAGTATAAGGTAATCAGGACTTTTGGAGCTTGTTTTGATCTTTTGTGATCCCTTCAGGTTAAAAATATGATTGACTGTGGCCTTTTAGCACAGCCAACCAATGAAAGAGCATGAAGCAGGTCAGCTGTGGTTCCCAGAGAATTAGAGATGGCAAAAATGTTGTGACTGAAGGGAGTGTAAACTTGCAAGTGGACACTAGACGGCTGTGACGGTTATTACTCCAGCCTCAGGGCAGCAACGTTTCTCAGGAGAATCCAGAGCACCTCTGGATCAAAATTATAAAACAGCACTCCGCAATAAAAAAAAAGTTTTTCATAAAAAAGAAATAATAATAAATAATTAAGAGCATAAAAAAACAGACAAATGGTGAAGTCTTATTTATAAACAAACCTCCGAGTGGCCGGAGCCTGAGACGATGTGCAAAAAAAAAAAAAACATTAATCTTTCAGGACAAAGTAAACATGTTTTTGGTAAAAGAAAAGCTGAATATTTCTGATAAAAGTAAGATCAACACGTGCGTCACTTTCCTCGTGAGGATGTGGTAGAGAGGACTCGTACAGCATGAGCTTTAACGTCAACCCAATGGCTGAAAGAATGCTAACATTCAAGTGTTGTGTAAGCTTTCCAGATAGTGTTTGTGGGTTTTTCCTCTTGTTGCTGTAGGACATCTGTGTACCACCCAGTGATACTGTACTGGGACATTTACAGTGTTGTCACAGTCCAATGACAGGAGTCAGATTTCATGTGGAATTATACTAGTCTCACGTAACAAATGATTTTCAGACAGCTGCTCTCCTCCTGATAAACTCCCATTCTGCAGATGATAAAGGCCGGTGACATTATGAACAGATTAGAGTCAAAACAACAATGTAACAAAGGTATACACCGTACAAAGGCTGATAAGCCTCATTCATTCATCTGAATGGAAGAGTTGACAGCTGCAGTTTGAGGACATTCACCTCAAACTGGAGACTTGATGAGATTTAGAAAAAAAAGTGATACTGAAAGCAACAAGAACACCGTTTGTGCTGGATATGCTTCCTTAAACCTATGTTTTGGTTTGCAACAGCATTAGAAAGTGCAATTACTTGGAAATGAAACCAGAAGATATTGTAATTAAACACATGACATACTTGTCTGTCTTCTGCTAATAATAAGACTGGCCAAGGGTTATACACTAACAATGATGTTCCTGGAGAAACAGCTACTAGAGTAGGTTAATAAAAAAAATGAATGTTAGAATTCTTTTAAACACAGAAGCCAGACTAAAAAGAAAGAATAAACAAACTGTAGTGGGCACACTTTGAACACAAAGTGTTGACTGTCACTGCCCGTCCTTTAAATCACGTATTATAAACCTGTAAAACTATTTAAACATCACCGTCATGCATATGCAGAAGTAAAGATTTCAGTATCTTTTTTCATTAAACATGGCTAGCAACTAGCAAACTGCTCTGCAGGCTTTACTGCCCATGAAGGCTGGAATGGAGAACAATAATAACAGACACAAAAACAAGCATTTGATACGGATGCAAGAAAACATCGGTAGATTGAATAATGTGTTCAAAGAATTCTAGGAAACAGACGCAGTGCAAAATCTGAGTGTAATCAAATAACATCTGGAAGTTCCAGTAGACTCTCCCAGCAACATCAAGACCGGCAGCCGGGTTGCTAAATGCTATGAACAAATTTAAGGAGACAACCTGCGTTCCTGAGTCATGTCACAACAACCACCCTTAGGCTTGACATGGTAC